GAACTTATAAGTGCTGGACGGGCGGCGAAAGGTCGTGCATTTCGAAATCTAAGAGTCACCAGCTGCAGAAACGTAGCGCGCGTTGATGTACTGTTTGATCTCGCTATCGTCTTTGAAAAATTTGTCGTACGGTCGTGCCCCTTGTAACAAATACTTGATGGCAGTGATCGAGGAACAGATCTGTGAACGCGTTCTGTGTCAGCAAATTTCAAAGTACGTATTCCTTTCCGGCATGCGTGCGCGCAGCTACGTCAGACTCACCTCGACATTGATGTGCGCATCGTGCTTGCAAGAGATTCAAATGTTGTGCGGCACGATCCGGCAGTTCTTCACATGGCGATACTTGCGTCGACAAAAAACCGCCCATCATCATGCCGTCGGTATGTAGGATAGACGCCTGCGTCGGCGGACTTTTAGTTAGCGAACGCTTTCGGATAGCGTTTGGTGAATTTGTCGTCCTCCATGCATGGCGCGTTCGGGTTCTCCGTAACGGAAGGTCCATACACTAAGATGCGCGTGATGGTCTCGTGTGCGGGTACCCCGATCCGGTATTTCTCTGACACGGCCAAGTCGATTCCGACGGCGGCAAGAAATTTTGATGCATCATCAAGTATTAGGAGGATATGCGCATGTGAGAGAACGCGCTTCTGGAACTCAATAACCCAAACTTTGGCGACAAAGCTTCGACGACTATCCGGCCGGTGTGTATGCACATGAGCTCCTGAAACTTAACGTACAAAAAAAACTTGCGACCAAGTCGGGCCGATCCTGCGCCGCTTGTACGAGCTACAGCTCCAATGAAATCTGTGGCAACTTAAGATTTAGCATGAACGTAATAATAGTTGTCCGTTCGTCCGCAATTGCGCACGCTCATGGCCATGACCATTGCGTCCTGGTAGAGCTGGCTCACCAGGCGGTCGCTACCAACAAAATGTCGACGAAAGTATCAACCTGCGCCCAACCTGCGCGACATCGTGGTCGGCTTTGGTCATTGCGTCCATCGATACCAAGTTCAATTCGCACGAAGCTCGCCTTGGTGGTCGGAGATGTACTGCAGGATATTCTGCTTCACGCATACCCACGCGTCCACGACGTATTGCTGAAAGAGCCACACGGAAAGAAATAGATGCTCTCCCGGCGCGCGCGGATGCAGCATGTAGAAGTTTTTTTACTTTGCAAAACGCGTTTCGACACAACCCTCTCACGGGCGGCATCTCCATCATTGTCGTAAAATAGCCTCCCTTTCGTGGCATGCTCAAGTCCCCTCAGCGGCATCATTGGTGTCCATCCCTGTCGACAGTCGGGAAAAAGGAACAAGTAGTGGAACGGTGTGTAGGCGTAAAAATGCCAAAATGCGCTGCAAGTGCCTATCGCGGCTCTTGAGGACAATGATACGATCGTAGATACTGCCATCGTAACCGTCGCCTACCATGATCGGGAAAATTCTGTTTGCTGTGGGCGTATTGTACCTGCGTCTTTCGTTCGACTGCAGGCATAACTGGTGCAGTTTTATAGTCAAAACCTAATCGTTGTCTGTCCGATGACGAGCCTGATCGTGAACTGAATATATTGTTGGACAGGTCGAGCATCGTCTGGAGTTTTTAAGGCACGCAACGATCCAGGGTTAGCAGAATGTTCATTCGGCCAGCAAGCGCCGTGTTGTTGTCGGTAATGCAAAGCTAAGCAAATTTTCTTGTATGGCCGGCATCCGGGAGGAGCGCACCCATCCGGTGGTATAGGGTGCCTTGCATTCGGGACGTGTAAATGTTATCGTCCAGGTTCGCACCCAAATATGTAAAAGAAAGTGCATAGTTATACGCACAAATGTTTGCCGGAAAGCGTGGGCGACGGGCGTTTGATCCCGTAGCAAGTTCCGCAGCGGCTCGGGTGGCTGCGCAAACGATAAGATATTAGCTATGTCGCCGCGGTCGCAGCACATAGCAAGGTGCCGACTTACCAGAATTGAGTCGGATCTTGCACTCTCTCTACAATCCAAACAAAACCGCGCAGTCGCGGCTGACCACATCAACCCGGTTCAGTACATAGCGTTGTGTCGGTGCGTCAGAGGGAATGTCTTGACGAGTAACCGGGGTTTCGTCGTTTACTGCAGCTACCCGCCGACGTAAACTTTGCGCACGACACACCGCAGCTACCACTTTCCGGCGGCGCCACACTGCTGTGGTGGAGTGGGCTCTCAAAATTGTACGATGAGACCCCAAACCACTCACTGTGCCGGACTGCCGACTGTCAGAGGGGGTACCCCGATGCCGCGTATAGATCTTCTCTCACCTTTTGTACCCGTCGGCTGGCGGGTTGCACTCTTCGAAAGACTTGGGTGAAGTTATAGACGTCTGAATTGAGGGAAGTAGACCTGGGGGCCTCGAGTGGATATGCTTCACTCGGTGGGCCGGTAGGTGGCCACTCGGTCGACCTTGTCGAGAGTGGACTTAGAGCCAAATTCTTCAGGGAGCTTATCCCTGGCCTTTACTTCGTGTTCCAGAAGTATTAATGTGGTGAAGTGCCAGGGGAAATTAGAGTTTAAGGGGGGAATGGGAGTGATTACGACCCGGCCTCGTGGATCTACAACCACACACCAGGCCCCGCCTTATTAAGAATATAAGGACCCAGACGTGCGGAGCCAGCACAGGCCCCAGGCCCAGGAAACAGGTTCCAGGGTACCAGGGTACCGGGGCCCAATGTCCGAGGGTGCAGAATCGGTACACGGAATATCGAAGATTACAGAAAGTACAGGTACTAAGGAGCCAATTCTTCCTCCAAGAGTCGACACGTGGCACTACCCAGATCAAAGGGTTAGAGTTAGGCAAGAAAAGCATACAAAGTATAAGGTAAATAAACACACTCGAATTTGCATTACACGTGGCAGCTCCAAGCGCCCCTTCCAAGCTTCTCCGTCGCTTCACCTCTTCCTGGCGGGATATCCTTTGCCCCCCCCCCGACGTCAACAGGTGTTAGACGGCTCAAGCTACGCAAGTTGAACCTCAGGATAGTTGGCCTGAGGAGTAAAGTAAGTGTCAAGACTTTACGACCCGCTACAGGAAGCGATTTCCCTACGAGGAAGAACACAAAGGGGTCCAAGGACCAAGAACAGTCAGCCACCAAAGGGGTACATATTACCAGGTGCATCGCTCTTGACTAAAGTCGATTGAGCCCAAGAAACCCGGTCCCAAGTGAAGTATATCCACTCGGGGACCACCAAGTCCAAGTCTTTAAGTCTTCTGCGTCTAACGAGGAGCAAGACCAGCCAAGCCGACGGGTACACAAGGTGAAACCCAAGGTTGACGCGACACGGTATCGGGGTACCCCCTCCGTAAGTCGGCAGTCCGGCGCTGTGTGTGTTTGTGGTTCTCACACGTCGTTTGAGAATCCACTCCACCACATTAAACTCCTGGCGTTTGCTTTGCTCCCGGACCGTGAGGTGAGGGAGACCGCTTCCGATAGCGGGTTTTGGGGAGTGTTGCTACTCGAGCGAGCTCACAGGCCAAATATATCCTGGAGCTCTATTCGCACTTGAACTTCACTACACAACTCTCTTCAACGGGGGCCAAAATGTATCCCCGGAACAAGTGGGTAGCTTAGAGCAGGTTCTTTTAGGACGACAGAGTCGTGTCACGTAGATCGCAAATTGAGTAGTATTTAATATAGTCCTATCCTTTTAACTCCTTTACTCTATCCTTGCCTGAAGCTCTGATTCCTTGCGTCGACTGGTCTGATCCTTGTGTCAACTGGTCAGGAGTGGCTGAACCTTGAGGGACTCAGGTCTACGGATGAGGGTCCTATTATATCGAAGAGGAACCGGGGTCAACCGAAGAGGGACCGGGGTCTAACCGAGTTTTTTGACGAGGGACCTCGGTCTACCGATGAGGGACCGAGGTCGCCCGCCGAGAGAACACGTCTACCGATGAGAAAGAACACGTCTACCGATGAGAAAGACCAGGTCTACCGATGAGAGACCAGCTCTACCAATGAGAGACCCAGGTCTACCGACGAGAGAACAGGTCTACCGATGAGAGAACAGGTCTACCGATGAGAGACCAGGTCTACCAATGAGGGACCCAGGTATACCGATGAAGGACCAAAATCGTCCGACGAGAAACCATTCTACCAATTAAAGACCCAGGTCTACAAATGAGGGTACCGTGGTCGACTCCTTTCGGTACCGTTTAAACAGTATTCTGGTAATGATATGGTCCCTTTTCCCTGGTGCGCGGCCCCTTGTTCCTTCAATCCATCTGCCCCCTAGATTCTCCACATTTCGAAAAGCACTTCACCACACTGCTCTTTCGTCTCCATCGCGAATTGAATCATCTACCGTCTCCTTTTAAATCAAGCCCTTACCCGCCGCTATCACTACTGTTGACACGCATCCAAATTGCTCCAAGATGCTTGGTTGACCAAGTCAGAACGTATCGGTACTTTTAGAGGTAGACTCCGCGATGCGGCGACAGATGTACAATGTTGTATATAGCGAAGCGCTACATTAGGAGAATATATATGCCTATATACTTAGTAAATGTACTATCGGCGTATACTTCGCGCACCATGTTCGTCGAAACGACAGGTACACACCCTAGTTCACAGCATGAACTCATTTGTCCGTTGTTAATGTCGTTAACTTACAAAAATATATATTCCAAATAAATTTTAACATAAATTTTTGTTTATTACTTATTCAGATATTAGAAAAAAAATGTATCACAAGATGAGGAAAACTATATAATACCACGGCGTATACCATTCGAATAGTATACGCCGTGGTATATTTTTTATTTTCTCAGATTTATGTTTTATTTATATTTGAGTACGTGAACAATTATTGTAGGCATTATCTAGTATTATTTTTTATTTCCTCTTACGAAAATACAACCGATTGGTTTTGTTTCGCTTAAGTTACAACATTTTACTTCCATTCTGACCTGTAACTTAATCAAAAAAGGCTAATTGCTTAGCCCCAAAAGGAGCTAAAAGAGGCAAAGACCCTCATGGCTGCGGGTGGCGGACTAACGAAGAACCAACGGCGACGGCTCAAGAAGCGAGCGCAGAAGCAAGCAGAGGCCAATGGCATCGAGATGGACTCCGCCATTATCAGCAATAAAACCATTAAGCCGACGGAGGAGACGACCGTCGCATCTCCTCTCGACGTGGACGTGGAGTACGTAAGTGCCGATCCAAGCAAGGAACTGGCGCTACCGGTGGACGATCCGAACTTTGAGGAGATGATGCGCGTGTTTGGAAAGTTTTCGTCTGCTGAGGAGCTCTGTGGTACGACAGACAATGAGGTACGTCCAGACTGTCGAATTTGCACACTTTTATCGTCGTTTATGGTTGATAAATGGCATTATTACTGCTCTTTAGGATGGAAAAGAAGAAGATAAGAAGGACAATGAAAAGGTGAATGACCAAATAGTAAAGGAGGAGGAAGAGGACGAGCAGGTGCTATCCAGAAAAGCCCGCAAAAAAAGCAAGCGACTCAGTGTCGCAGAGCTGAAACAGCTCGTGTCGTATCCTGATGTCGTAGAGGCCCACGATGTCACGTCTGCAGATCCGCGTCTTTTAGTGTATTTGAAGTCGTACCGCAACACGGTGCCGGTACCTCATCACTGGTGTCACAAGCGTAAGTATTTGCAAGGAAAGCGTGGTTTTGAGAAACAGCCATTCAAGTTGCCAGAGTTTATTGCACAAACGGGCATTGCTGAAGTGAGAGAATCCGTTGCGGAGGATGATGAAAAGAAAAAGAACAAGCAGCGAGCGAGAGAACGCGTGCAGCCCAAGATGGGGCGAGTGGATATTGACTACCAAGTGTTGCATGACGCTTTCTTCCGTTTTCAGACAAAACCAAAGCTCACGCAGCTAGGTGATCTGTACGTTGTATCTACTTTTGATAAGATATTTGGTAGAAGGATCATTGTCTAACATTGGTACTGGATTCAATCTTGTAGGTACTACGAAGGAAAGGAATTTGAAGTAAAGCTGAAAACAAAGGTGCCTGGTCAGCTCTCAGATGAGCTGAAGTCAGCACTCGGTATGGTGGAAGGTGTCCCACCTCCGTGGCTGCTGAATGTACAGCGATACGGTCCACCTCCTGCATATCCAAACCTTAAGATTCCAGGTTTAAACGCGCCAATTCCCGAGGGTGCCAGTTTTGGCTACCATCCCGGTGGCTGGGGTAAGCCGCCGGTGGACGAAAATGGTGTACCACTTTATGGTGACGTTTTCAGTAAGGCGGGTGAAACAGAGAACCAGGTAATGATAGTTGTTAAATGTGCTGCTACAAAAAAATTAGCGAGCTAGTGAGCCAACAGTTTTTGTACTACAGGGTGAAGAAATTAACCGAGAGAGATGGGGAGAAATTGAAGAGGAAGAAGGTTCGTTCTGCAGAAGTTGCGTACTGAAAGTAAGTAGTGTTCTCATCTTAGTTTTGGAATTTGTGGAAATGCAGTGGACGAGGAGGAAGATGAAGGTGAGGAAGCAGAAGACTTCAAGGAAGGCGATGCAGAGGCTAAAGGTCTTGACGCAACTGGTCTGGAAACTCCTTTTGTGGATGGCATTTCAAGTGTGGCATCCGGCCTCACCACGCCGGGTATCGTAGATTTGCGAAAGGGCTCTCGGTACGTTGGTGCTACCAGCTTCAGCTTCGTTGGTACCTATATATGTATATTGTTTCTAATTATATGCTGACATTTAATGAGCAGAGGAACAGAAACACCTGATGCCCCCCAGCAGCTATACACCGTTTTGGAGCAGAAAGAGGTGGGTACTCCATCACTTTTCTACTTTGCGCAAGTATCCATTACTAATGTTCTACTCTTGTCATGTAGACATCGGTGGGGACGTCGCTATACGGCTCAGGTCATGCATATGTTGTACCTGGTGCAGCCGAAGATTCGAGCGGCACCCGCACGGAGACTGGTCGAGTTAGGCGTCGCTTCGAAGATGCACCTCTGTCGAAGTCAGCGAATCCTGCGGAAGATGAAGATGAGGCTATTCAGAAGAAAAAGAGGGCCAAGACCGAACAGAGCAAAAAGCTCAAGGATTTCAAATTCTAAGTATGGGTATTTCTGCAGTAGACAGCAGTAACGTACAGCGAACTTGACTAAACACGTCCATGGTGCTTACTCTTGTGTTAGCGGCTAGTTAAATAGATCTTACTTAGAGAGGTGGAAGTCCCATAGCCTCACGCAGCTCCATAATCTGTCGTCGCTCATCAGGCGGCAGGGATTGGATAATCTCAGGTGCCAAGTTTTGCACCTGCTCCAGAAGTTCCTGCTGCTCTTGATCCAACTTCTCCATCAGGTCATTCGACACGCCCTATAGTAGTAGCAAATACAAGTGAGAAATGATTAGTTAAATAATATCCGTATCATATCCCAAATCCAACTTACAATCGTATTGGCAGGGGCGGGTCCTGATGCCGTACTCTCTTTAATCATTCCGAGCTGAAGCTGTGCCTGAGCAACGGCACGAGCCAGTTCTGGGTGATCTTGAAGAAGCCGTCTTGTCTCTACCGGATCGCTTTCATTGCATTGCTTTAGCTGGTATACAAGCTCGTACACATCTGCCACCGGTAAATCCTTGACACTAGTCGCTTTGACTTCCATTTTTGTCGAATGTCATGTAATGAAGTAAAATACACCATGTAGCACACGAAGAAACACTACATGGTGTGTCATACTTTCATACATGACATCCTTTTGTGTGTCCACATAAATGAACCCACTGTATCCATTTTCTTCGTAGCCACCCACCGCATGCTGCGTGCCTCACAGTCGTCGCCGCTGTTCCATTGCTCGCGTCGCTTCAACATTCTCTCATTGAAATCTATTGCAACAACAACATCAACAACAACAACAACAAAGCTTTCTGAGACTTTTACTGATCAACACTCACTAGACGAGATGAACGTGACACGCCATAACTTTTCCAAGTGTCTAAGTGATCTACAGAAAGACTTAAAACTACCTACGTGTCGTTTTGTAGCCATTGACACGGAATTTACTGGTCTATCACCTAATGAACTGGAACGTGAACAGTATTTGGATACACTGGAGGAACGTTACCGTAAGGTAAAGCGTGCAGGTGAGAGTTTCCTTATCACACAATTTGGATTATCGACTGTGCATTTAAACAAGAAAGATCAGTTTCATATCAAGACGTGGAACTTTTACATATTTCCTCGACCTTATGGCTCACTGGATGAACGCTTTTTGTGTCAAGCCTCGAGTCTTCAGTTTTTATCCGAACACGGCTTTGATTTTAACAAATTCATTGGAGATGGCATCCCTTTTGTCAATTTGTCCACGACTACGGCAATGAAAAAGCGTCTAAAACGTCGTGTAGATGGTCTAACGAAGATCAATAAGAATTTACAGCTATCGGATGATGGTGTGGCGTTTGAAAAAGAAGTAAAGGAGCAATTGGACCAGTGGATTGCTGACGGAGCGAAGAAGGGTGAAACGTTACTTGTACCGACGAGGAACTCATTCTACTCAATGATTGTACATGAGACTGCACGTGCTAGGGCTAGCTATCTGTACTCGGAAGGTGTCGAAGGAGGTGTCGAAGTGTCGTACGTGTCCAAAAAGATTAAGGACGAACGTATTGCTGCGAAGGTCAAGGAGATGCAGCACGAGATGGACGATGCAATTGGCTTTTCCAAAGTTATTGAAGCTTTGAGTGAGAGCAAGTTGCCTGTTGTCGGACATAATGCGCTGTTGGACTTCGTCTATGTCTTCCACCAGTTCTATAAGCCACTTCCCGAGACGCTGGCGGAGTTCAAATCGCAGCTTCTAGAGCTATTTCCGACCATCTACGATACCAAGCATGTTACACTACGTTCTCCTCTTGGCGAAAAGCTGACATCTACGAGTCTGTCATCGTTGTTTGAGTACATGCGCGAGAACGTCAAGCCTGAGCCTAAGAACTTGATCCCGAGTGACAAGCGCTTCGACACGTACCGTGAAGCACTTAAGGCTGAGGCCGATGGCAATGAAAGCTCCTTATGCCACGAGGCTGGATTCGACGCGTTTATGACAGCTGTCTGCTTCTTAGGTCTGCTGGCCCACGACGCCAAGGGTGAGCTGCCTGACCAGTTGGTGCCTAAGGAAGGTAGCTCTGCTCGTCTCAAATTGCGTCTGGAGGAATTGGAGTGCTTCAAAAACCAGCTGAATCTGATGATCTCGGACGAGAGCTTCCTGGATCTGGGCAACGTCTCGCAGACGATTGATCGTGCTCGTGTGTATCGTGTATCCAGTACCACAAAGCGCCGGATTCAGCACGTGCGCATGGAGAACGTGTTTGAGTCGTCCAAAGTGCAACGCATTGTGCGTGAGAGCGACCAGGACGCGTTCGTGATTCTGACGGAGCCTGTGGAAGCGGTAGACGACGAAACTAAGGCCAAGTTTGGTGTGAATGTCACTACGTACGATGAGCATGTGGCTGCTGAAGCTAAGAAGTCCCAACTTGAGGTGGCAGAAGCTGACCGCAAGGTATTCGATAAGATCACAGCTGCTCACGCATCAACAACAACCAGTGACGAGATAACCGTCACTGATGCCAAGGAAGACGCGTTTTCGTGGAATCGCTGCACCATTTCATAGAGCAGGAACTGTAGCTAGAGGAGGGAGTTTGTCTTGCGTGTAAGCTGTATGGAGACCTGCAGCATTGTAGCAATAAATACCTTCTTGATTGTCCATTTATCATTTCAGTCAGCTAGCTAACCGCCACGTCGCATCCTCTCATGGCCAGCGAAAGCGACAACGATTGCGGCGTTCGTAGTGCTGCAGCCGCGTCTGAACTCGAATTTACTGGTATTAAGCGCGTCGAGGTTCAGCGTCTTCCAACGCATCTAAACAAGGTTCAGGCCGGAGAAGACGATGAAGATGCGCTGTTATTAGCTTTAGCTCAGCCAGTGGACAGCACCGACCCGCTCTCCTTTCTCTGTTGCTGCAAGTTGAAACGGCTCGGACAGAGCTACGTGAGTAATAGAGAGCAATAGAAACACTTCTCGCTGCAAGTCTGATGTGGCGTACTCGTTCTGTTAACGCTCTTAGATTCTCCACGAACGACGTGATGGCGTCACGATGGAGACCAAGCTCGTGATTGTAGGGCCCCATTGGATCGGGGCCTTGATCACGTTTGGTATTGTTCTGGTGTCCACGGGCATATTCCTCTCCCAGCATGTGGCAACGATGCCATGGTACGACACAGTGATGATGTTAGGACTCTGTAGTATGACGCTCTACTATCTGTTCCAGACAACGTGCTCGGATCCAGGCATTGTACGGCCAGAGAAAAAGGTGATTCTGACTGAAGACGAGAGTGAGGTAGCGGAGTTGGAAGCTGGCAACGTTGCAACAATGGAAAGCTCAATGGAGATGCAGACTGGTGACTTTGGTTCACGCCGGCGCCGATCGAGACATCGGTTTTGCGATATCTGCGGCATCGAGCAGGACCGGTCAACAGATCATTGTGACGACTGCGGAGTATGCGTGGCTGGCTATGACCATCACTGCCCATGGATGGGCAAGTGCATTGGTCGAGGCAACATACATGCCTTCAAGATGTTCAACATCTCGTGGGTCATCTACGTCGCTTTTGTGCTTTTCGTCGCCATCACTAGACTTGACTGGGATCAAGCTGCAGTGTAAACATGCACCCTACCGGGTAGACAATACAAAGTCCGCAGAGAAACTTGATAAGAAGAGCACACCAGTAAAAACAAAGACATGTGCAGGTAGAGAAAAATAGTGTTTCATTTTTTACTTGGCGTCGCCATTGGCAGCCTGCTTCTTGTGTTTTTTCTTACGCTTCTTTTTTTGCAACGTCTCCGCTGAGGCGGCCTCGTTTTGAAACGTGGCGGCATGCACTTCAGTAGGCTTCTCCTCTTTCTTCTCCTCCTTCTTGACAGGAGGCGTCGTGACCACTGCCTTAACCTTCTTCTCCGACACTTTATCGGAATCAGTGGATGACGAAGAAATCTAAAATTCAAACAACACAATACTATCAGCGCTACAGCTCCTTTAAAACTACACTTAAGATCTTCACATGCAAAACATACAGCGATAGAGATGTTGCACAGTTATGACTCGTATGATTCCGACAGGAAAGACCACAAGAGCCTTTTACAAACGCAAAAGACAAGCATTGCTTCAATTGCCGTCTCGCCAGAGCAAACATTATCCAACTGACACCACTCTCCTTGAGTATCCACAACTCTACTCCTCCCGCCATCGTTTCCGACAAGCAGTAAGGTGCAAAGAAGATGGACACAGAAAGCAGCAAGCATTAGATCACAGCCGCACCCAGCACAAATGAGACCGCCACAACAGCTCATCCTACGTCTGCACGGAGACAGCCTTAAGGACCATGCTCGAGTATTAAGACGAGAAGAACTCACGCCATGAAAGCATACACTTTCCTATACCATCTGGTCTGGACCCCCATGATATCGAAAAAAGGACCACGGGGGTAATTTACAAATGGAAGATAAAGAATATCGACACTACTTCACACATGTAAAACCCACCTCTTCTAAATTCTTTTCCTTTGCTTTCTTCTCTGTTCGAGAACGTTTCTTGTTCTTCTTGACGAGAGAGTCATCGACATTGGATGCTTTCTCTTCCTTTTCAACCAAGTCAATAGGAGGACCGAGTTGGAAGTAGCCAGTAAGGTTCACAACACCAGAGCCCTTTGCCAGGTAGAATTTGACCTTGTGGCTGAAAACCAGATCCAACTTCACCTGCAGCGGCTGCTTGTCACCCAAGTGTGCCACTGTACCTTTCCAGGCCTTGCCGTCGACTTGCTGCGTCTCCAAGCCCAGAGTTACCAGACCGTTGGCACTGGATGCACCACACGTGGCATTGCACACATTAAGCACAAAGCCATCAGGTACTTCAACGACTGCAGCTTTGGTTTCTGTCACGTCGCAACCCCAAAATGCCACCATAGCTATCAAAAGATAATGAAATTATGTCCACAATCGACAGATGATGACGAATTGGTCGACCTGATAGAATGGCTGGCTGTGCCGGCATAATGAAATTGTGGTGTGGCTCACGCACTGAAACCCTAGCCATGCAATTTGTAAACCTGTATAGAAAGTAGTAGTTTGATTAAAGAACTTAAATCAAAGTCGATAGAGCTAGTGTATCTTCTTTATAAATATGCTTGATTTACATTATTGTTCAGCTTAAGTTGCTAAAAGCATCGAAAGTATACACGCATTGACACGTTTAATTTTTATACACGTGATACACAATAATCAAGGCAGTACATAAGAAACCTGTATTTATTTTGTACATGCAACTTGACCAACTCAGCTATCTATATCCTTACTAGGTAGCTCGATGTTTAATAAGTGTTATACAACAACTTCGACACGAAACAGTAAATTATTCAATGACTATTGCATTCCTCCTCACCTTACCTTCGAAAAATGTCATATGTGCCGTATCCTGAGCCTCACCTTGTCAATAAAGTTGTAATGAGCAGCATCCCAATTCACAATTTTATCGGAAAAATTGAAATTGAAGTTGAGGTTTTTAATAAACCAGCATTGCAGTCTCGGTTTGACACTGCACTGTTAACTAAAAAGTCGTCAGCTTGACTTATTTTCCACCAATACGAATTCTTTTCAACGTGCAGCCAGTCAAGCCATGTTTAAGTAAATATTCAGGATCATGGTGCTCATGCGTCGCCGCGATAAGCGACGCGGCAACGAGGCTGAGGAGATCACAGTAGCGAGTGACTTGTCCATTGGTGCCAATAAAGGTGTGCGCTCCTTAGGAGGTGCACGATCGGGCCGCTTTGCTGCCGACATGCGCATAAATGTGGGAGGCTATGGCCGAGCCGACAAAACGTGGGGTGTGGACCACCCGTGGCATTCGACGGTGGAAGGCGATTTGTTCTCTCAATTGTGCGCTAAGGATCATATGGAAGAAGGTGGAGTGGATCAGGAGAAGACACTGGAGGAACCTGTGCTTGGACTTAGTCGAGCACAGCTTAAGAAGCGCAAGACAAAGCTCAAGAAGAAGGGGCTGACGGCCAAACAGGCGTCCGAGATGGCTTTGAAAGAGGCTGAAGAGGCCAAGAAACGTCATGAGGAGGAACAGAAATGCCAGGAGGAGGAACAGATGATTGAAAGACAGGAAGCTGTCAAGAGGAAAAAGCAAAAGAAGAAGAAGGAGCTGGAGCTGGAACAGGAACAGACGGAGGACGCGGATACGAAGAAAGAGAAACGTAGAAAAGAGAAACAGAAGAAAAAGGAGAAGAAACAGATTGCTGTAGAGCAGGTAGAACAACAGACTAAGGAACAACAGGAGGAGATGAAGGCTCGGGAAATACTTGCTACGGCTTACGAACAGAACGTCGGTAGTGAAGTGACTACCAAGAGTGGATTGGTGATTCAGGACCAACGTGCTGGAAAGGGCAAACTGCCACTTAATGGCGAGATGCTTACAGTCAAGTATCGTGGTCGGCTTGGACGGGATGGCCTCGTGTTCGGCAAAGGAATGCTCACGATGACGTTTGGCACTGGATCGGTCATTGCTGGATGGGAAGAAGGTCTCGCTACGATGCGGCCCGGTGGCGTGAGGCTGCTAACGATCCCACCCGAGATGGGCTATGGAGAGAAAGGTAAAGGCGACAAGATCCCGCCTAACTCGACGCTATTCTTTGAAGTGGAACTCGTGCGAATTGGTAAACGAAAACGAGAGACCATCGGGGACGACGACGTCCCGCTGCCCAGCTCGTTCCAGCGCAAGCGCACTCAACAAAAACCGGACAAGAACTGTGACCAGGACGAAAACGACGTTGACATGAAGCTGTCGAAAAGCCAAATTAAGCGACGACGTCGGAATCGAAACAAAAACCGAAACGTGGAAGTCGACACTTGATCAAGTAGCGCGCAGACGTACAATGGGCGTCTTATAGTTTTATAGTTGCATGGTACAGATGCAATGCTATTGCTAAGTATTGCAGACAGTTACACGAACTTTTAGCCAATTGGAGAATATATTTTGGGCTTGATGACTATTGACCTGCGTGGCCAGGGACGTGCCATTTGACTGGCGACAAACCACAGTAGAAAAGAGTATAGAGCTTTGTCAGCGCAATTTGAGAAGCTCCGGTAATATTCTAATAATGGTTGCGTCCATGGATGATACTTCCGCTCCTGCCACATCCAAACAGATGTCAATTACTACCAAGAAAACTCGTCGTGTGGTCTCACTGCTCATCGACAATTATGACTCGTATACGTACAACATCATGCAGATGTTGGCTCAAGTGAACGGTTTCTCGTCCAGCGTGACGGTGATTAGGAACGACGATTTCAATGGCCAATTTGCTGCTGCATGGGACCATTTTGTAGCTCAAACGAATGCAATTGCAACAGGTCAGGACGTGGAAGTGGTGCGCAACGTTATCATTTCTCCTGGCCCGGGTCACCCAGCAGAACCAAAAGACTTTGGCATGTGTGCCGACGCCATTCGTTCTGCTACGGTGCCAGTGCTGGGTGTGTGTTTGGGACACCAGGGTCTGGCTCATGTCTATGGAGGGAAAGTGATGCAAGCGAGACAAGTCATGCATGGCCGCACCAGTCGGGTGTTCGTTGAAGGGGACAAGACGCTATTCGCTTATGTCCACAATGGATTCAAGGTAGTGCGATACCATTCGTTGGTCATTGACCCGTTGAACGTGCCTGAGGAACTAGAGGTGATTGCTTGGACGGATGATAAAGTTGTTATGGCTGTACGTCATCGATCGAAGCTACAATTTGGCGTCCAGTTCCATCCAGAAGCGGTGTGCAGTGAGTTCGGCTACCAACTCTTCCAGAACTTTCGCGATGTTACATTGGGTCAATGCGCCTCGAAGTGTGAGCTACATCATAACAACCACTTGGAGCAAGAGTATAAGGTGCAGTTTGAGGACAAGCAGAAAGGTATTCAGCAGACGCCGGGCTACCGTGTTCTGATTAAGCGCGCTTCGAGTGAACTTGCATCGTTAGAGTTAGCTGAGTTTGTGTTTGGAGAGTTGTTTGGAAAGTCGAAGAGGTCGTTCTGGCTTGACAGTAGCAGCCACGATACGGTTGTAGGTACCGATGCAGAAACTCAGTCACGGTGCTCAATAATGGGAGACGGCAGCGGACCCTTGAGCTACTGTGTAGAGTATGACGTTGCTAAGGTAGGGCTGCGTGTCCGTCGATGGCAGATGAATGCTGGCGACGAGCAAGTGGAGATCTTGCCGGGGCAGCACATCCTGACTCATGTCCGAGAAGTGACACAAAAGTATCAGTGTCACAACGTTACTTTTGAGGATGCTGAACATGATCAGGAGGCAACTGCTGAACTTCCTTTTGCCTTCCGCGGCGGTTTTGTGGGCTATTTTGGATATGAAGTACTGGGTAGCGAACAAGAGGGCAAGAAGCAATTTAACGAGAACAACGAACAAGTATGCGGGGAGCGTGCTCCAGATGCTTCATGTCTGTTTATTGATCGAGCATTGGTATTTGATCATCGTGAAGGTGATATCTACTCACTTTCACTGAGCGAGGCCAACGCCGAAAGTGAACACGTGAGCCAGGACTGGCACGAAACAATCAAGAAGCAACTGAAGCGGCTCTGTGAGGATTTTTGTCAAAAGACCGATGCATGTCCACCATTTTCGTCGAAACTCACTGTTGGAAAGGATGAAGTCATTTTTCACCCGTCACGGACCCGAGAACAATATGTGGCTGACATCGAGAAGATTCAGCGCTTGATTCGTAAAGGTGAGACCTACGAAGTATGTCTGACTAACAACTTGCGTGCAGATTACGCTCTGCGCGATCCGTTAGCATTCTATCGTATGCTGCGCCACAAAAATCCAGCCCCGTTCGCCGGTTTCTATTTGAGCAATCCGAAGAATCGCTTTCAGACTCCAGTCGAGCTCAATGGATCAGAAGGTGATGTGGATGTGGAGGATACCTACGCATTATGCTGCTCTTCACCCGAGCGATTTCTACGGTTGGGAGCCGACGGCTGGATGGAGTCCAAGCCAATTAAAGGGACACGTGGTCGCGGTCGTGATCCTAGCGAAGATGCCGCCATTGCTGAAAAACTTAAAAACTGCGAGAAAGACCGAGCCGAGAATATGATGATCGCTGATCTTGTGCGCAATGACTTCGGCATCGTAGCACGTATCGGATCGGTGCATGTGCCGCGGTTGATGAGTGTGGAGACGTATGCTACTGTACACCAGCTCGTGACTACCATTCGTGCTCAACGAAAGGAGGATGTGGACGTAGTGGATGTGTTGCGAGCTACTTTCCCTGGTGGATCTATGACTGGAGCGCCCAGGAAGCGCACGATGCATATTATTCGAGAGCTTGAACGTGCTCCGCGCGGTGTCTATTCCGGAGGTCTAGGCTTCTTGTCGATTGACGGTAGCTGTGATTTGAACATTATCATCCGCACAGCAATCGCGACTCCGAACAGCGTGACGCTCGGTGCCGGTGGTGCTATTGTGGCACTCTCAGATAGTGACGATGAGTATGACGAAATGTTGCTCAAAGCGCGAGCTCTAGTAGCTACGATCGGTGCCTACGCCACGGGCAGGGATGACGGCTCTGGTGCCCGCGTGGTTGTCAACTCACGCTCAGAAGACGTGTGCTTGCTTGCCCCTCCCTGGCTAGCTAGCTAGAGTCAGAAATTATAACACATACATAGTATTTATTCATGTTGCCTGAAAAACCAACCCAAGCTAGTGATGCTCGAATCAAAACGTGAAACTGTTTTGAAAGCGAGGTATGGATACACTGATGTCGCATAATCCTTTTGCTTTAAGCTAGCCTACATTACCCTACATCCCAGCCGTCTCTTGCTCGCCACCCTCTTATGTCTTAGAAGCATGCATCCTGGATAGATGTAGTCGCATGAATGGTCAATGTCACATCAATTTTGATTCGAGTTGCTTTGATAATACTAACTAATCTAGCGTAGTGTACTTAGAGTAGGACTATTCATAAAATCTATAAGTATAAATAAAATCAGTTCTTATTTTGTGTTTAAGATCTCAAGTGTAACAGGGTACCTAGTTACACGTAAACATTAAGTAATATACTTAATGTTTGGTCTAAAAGTATCCATGATTACTTTTGACCAGTCACTTGGGTGCGACACACAAATGTGATCCACCCTCGTGAATGTGATATCCATTGATGGATTCACATGAGAAGGGATGACGCTAGTTGAAGCTAGGCATCACGACGTCTCAGAAGGACGTCAGTTGCGATCTTAAATCTAGATTTAAGATCATGCGACAGGATACGCTTCTAAAGAGTCGCGTATCCGATCTATATATATATATATATATATATAGCCAATCAGTAGTTAAATATATATTTAGTTATAATTAATTAAATATATCTCAGTCTTGAATTTACTTAAACAAACGCACCACGCACGAGAAGTTGAAAGACTTCTGCGTGACGTCGGTGCTTTAGTGTTAAGAAGTTCGTTGCACTCTCGCTTAAAGCGAGAGGCACTGGTGGTACGACTGCTTAAGCAGTCGACCAACCTCCTAACCACCCTCGCACGCGAAGGCAAGACGGTATAACTGCTTACTCGCTTGTCCTGAAGGTGTGTGCTCGTAGTACGAGGCATCTTCGTAGAAGTGCCCGTCTACACTTGGTAGCACTAGTAGTCCTTCCCACGACCTGTCTCTCTGAGCGTGCGTGTGGTTGACATGGTCCTTAATATGGACTGGAGTGACTTCCCTCACCTCTCCCAACATCATAGGGAGTTGGCAGAGCATATGGCGCAGGGACTTGGTGAACAAGCCCTGGTCAATCTCTTGCATTGTCCTCCTGGCTCAGTTGGAGCAATTTGAGGCGTTTGTGCTCGGACAGCGTAGAAACGCGTCCGAGGTAAACAGCCAAGCCACCGCTGAGTCCATCACTAAGACTCAGGATGAGCTTAGGCTTGAGCAGGCACGTAATGAGGCGCTCAACAGGACTGTTGAGACGCTCTCTGCCCGGCCTGATTAGCCAAGACCCGTTCGGATGGACCCACCGAAGTTCGATGGAACTAGCCCTCACACGATTGTTCACTGGCTATTAGCAGTTGAGCAATGTGGAGTGGCGCAGCTCATCGAAGACGACACCAGAATGGTGTCGTATGCCATGTCCAACTTGCGTGGCAAAGCGTCAGAGTGGGCATACTCTGCGCTGATGGCTAATGCTGATACATTTTCATCATGGGCGATCTTTAAGGAAAAGATTCGCGCCATGTATCAGCCGCCTAACAACGAAGTGTTGCTTATGGCGCGCTTCTTTGGAGAACGACAGGCGAAACGCTCTCTGCAAGAATTTGTGCAGGAGATGCGTTCGCTGTCGGCGTCCATCAATGGGGAACTGATACCAGAGCGTATCAAGGTGGCCACGTTCATGAATGGACTTAGGCACGGCCCATCGCGTCAGGCTCTTTTCAGAAAGTTGCCAGCGACGATGGAAGAGGCAATTTACATTGCCTTAGTTGAGGAGCAATCCTACAACAGCGCCTCGGTGACAGCCTATTACAGGCCGTCGACCGATAAGCCTGATGCCACTCCTATGGAGTTAGGCAATGCAGATGTTCTCTGCTACATGTGCGGCAAACGAGGCCATATAATGGCTCGCTAATATGCCAAACTTGCTGCTGGGGCAAAGGCGCCCTGCATAAAGTTTCCCACCCCTAACGGTGGTTAGAAAAACCGTGCACGACGCACGGGTTCAGCACCTGCCCAAGATGGGTCGGGAAATGCGGGAGCGCAGTAGGGGCGGGATGCCCTACTGTCGCGGACTCTGAAGCTACCCCTAAGTTCAGAGTGATCGAACAAATGGGTAGCATAGTCCCTGAGGTTCCGAAAGGTCGGAACTCAACCCTTTTGGTCTATAGCGCTCGAGTACGAGGCTATGACCAAGTGATGACCCTTCTCGTGGATTCGGGTGCATCACAAAACTGTGTGAACCTCGCGGCTCTGAAAACGAGACCGGCGAGTTATGAGTCGCTTTGCCAGGATGGCAAGCGAGAAGCGGCGATCGTTCGTTTAGCGAACGTCGCGCTCGTCAAATCGGAGGTAGTTCAAGTTGAACTCGCCTTCACTTTCAGTGACTTCTCTTGTAAAGAGAAGTTCACATGGCTAGGTATAGAGAGTCCGTACGACCTCATCCTAGGCATGCCTTGGTTGGCTAAACACCAACCATGGATAGGCTGGCGTACACGCACAGTCGCTAGCTCTACGAAAGACACCGTAAAGGATGTGCTCTTGCGAGAGGCTTATGTGACTGATGCTGTGTCCAACACAGTCGAGGGTGCGATGACGGTATGTCAATCGACACCAGGAACTACCCAGCTCAGAAAGAGTGGTGTAGTTGGAAGTACCCTGGCAGAAAGCCAGGTGACACATATTCTTACCCAGTTCGAAAAGACTGGTGTAGTGAGTGGGGCGATGACAAGTAGTGATGCGTCCAATAGTCCTGCCACAGAGCCGAAAGCCTGTGGCAGTTGATGGTGGGCTGACAGGAAGTCAAGCGCCACAAGAACCAGCACAGAGCCATGAGCCTGGTGCGGTTGGAAGGAGTGCGTTAGCTGAGATAGCAACGACACTTTCTTCCAGGTAAAAGGTCGTGGTGACTCGAAGAACGAGCACCAGACGTATTAAGACGATCAAGGGCACGTCGAAACGAGTGACCCTTGGATCAGTCTCGGTCCAAGAGGACGGACCTACGAACGAGTTGTTCGAGGCCGTCGAAGACAAATGCCGGAGGCATCCTCAGTTGAGGTGCTCCAACTTGTCTTGGCATCTGCCGAGGAGATAGTAAATCTCTCGGAGATGACGTGGGATCTGTTCCTGTCCGAATTAAAGGAAGGAAAGATCCACGAGATAGTCGCACCAGTTCCAGAAGAGAACGTGGTGGACTGTTGCTCTTCATCCACAATGGATGAGAGCGTCTTGGAGACCGACAAAAAGAAACGGCTCGCTGCTCAAGGCTGGGATGCCTTGAAGGACAGCCCGTTCTATGATGTTCTGTGGAAACACCGTGATGTGTTTCCAGCAGAAGTGCCGAGCCGCCTACCGGCCGATAGGGGCATCAGGCACGAAATTGACCTGGATCGTGGCACCAAGTATTGTGTGACCAGGCAGTGGCCGTTGCCGAAGGAACAAGTCGATTACATCGATAAGTTCTTCGACAAGCAAGCCAAGGCGGTACATGTACGTGAGAGCAAGTACCTCGACCTTTTGTGTGCGTAAAGCAACAGGTGGATGGCGCGTTGTTCATGCTTATAATAAGCTGAACGCGGCCACCATTCCGGCGCAAACGCCGATCTCGCGGAAAGATGTTTTGTTGAATTCCATGGGAAAGTCAACTATCTTTTCCGCGTTGGATCTGAAGGATGGCTACTATCAGGTTCTCATGAGAGATACCGATGTAGCCAAAACGGCAGTAATCACCCCAAGCGGTATGCTGTGGGAGTGGCTTGTGATGCCACAAGGATTGAAAAATGCTCCGGCAACATTCAACTGAGTAGTGGCTCACGTGATGCGTCAGCACCGTGCCTACGCGCCTCATTACTTTGACGATGTATTCGTGCATAGTAGGGCGGAGGACGGTCTAAGCGCGATAGAGTCGCACAAGCGTCATTTAGACGCTGTGTTGCAGACTCTGGGTGACGCCCAATTATACGTGAACTTGCAAAAGTGCGTAATAGGGGTCCCCAAGATACCGGTACTGGGCTGCATCGTAGGTGCACATGGTGTACGAGAGCAGACCCAGAAAAGGTAAAGGCTGTAAAGGATTGGCCAGTCCCACGTCATGTGAATGATCTGCGCCAATTCCTTGGGCTCGCTAATTACTTGCATAAGTACAGCAAGAATTATGCGGAGCAGACCAAGCCATTGTCTGACCTTTTAAAAAAGGATACAGAATGGACTTGGTCAAAGGAACAAGAAGATGCGTTCACTTCAGTGAAGCAATCTCTTGTAGAGGCACCGGTATTGGCATTGCCAGACGCGGATAAGCCCTTTAGCGTCGTCTGCGATGCAAGCAATTTTGCAATCGGCAGCGCGCTCATGCAGAAGGATGACGACGGCGTTGACCGTGTCATTTCTTATCAGTCTCGGCTTTTAAAAGCTGCCGAGCTGAATTACCCTGTGCATGACAAGGAGCTACTTTCAATTAAGTATGCCCTTGTGAAGTTTCGGGTGCACCTCTTGGGCACCGAACCTTATGTGGTTTATACGGATCACGCATCACTGCGGACCGCTATAAATTCACCGCACCTCTCGCCGAGAATGGCAAGATGGCTAACATTCTTCTCTAAATTTAATTTCAAAGTTGAATATAAGCCGGGTAAGTCGAATGTCTTGGCTGACGCGTTATCGCGCAGACCAGACTTCGAGGCAAGACACCAGGATAGTGTGTCTCGTGCGAAAGCACGAGGTGAGTTGTCAACATTGGCAGCCATGAAGGCACGAGCTCAATGGCCTCCGATATAAAGGAGTGTTACAGGCAGGACGAACATTGTCGCCTGCTGTTGGATCATTTTGGTGGACGAAAGGTTACCCTTCCGTCGCACCTCAAAGCGAAACTAAATCGCTTTAGTTACAGTGATGGACTGTTATGGCATCAACTGTCACCCTGTGATCCCTTGAGAATCTAT